AATTCCCACATGTCATAATTGGGAATGACTAGGCTCATGACTATAATATCTTCCCTATGGGTGAATAAAAGTTTTTATGGGTTTAAAAACACAATAAAATTTAACGAGATTTGAAAAAGAAAACCGTAAATTGTGTCTTTTCACATATTGCTTTTCTAAAGAAAAAAACGGAAAAATGCTGGAGGCTGATTCCAGGTGTGGAAACATTAGCTGTTCCTACGGAGATTACGGGAACATATTTCAAACGTTCCCGACTAGAACTACAAACGTTTCTGGTGAGGATTCCAGTCGTTTTTGGCGTGTGATTCCAGACGTTAATGATGGCGATTCCAGACATTCCCGACTATGATACCAGTAGCATATGACGGTTGGTTGGTTGCCTTTATTAACCTGTTAAAGCCCAAGTCGTTTTTGACCTCCGGACAATTCGTGATTTTTCCTGGAGTAACCCAAGGATAATCCTCACATTATTTGAAAACAAGATATTAATGATATTCCAAGGATCATTATTGATATTGATATTGAGAATTTAATTTGCGTTCTCAATTTCTGATAAGACATGATAAAAGAAATAAAAAATACTGATCAATAAATAGATCACTGGGCGTTAGTGGGTTAAAAATAAGTCGTAAGCGGACCTCCTGACGAAGATTCAATACGTTCCTGAAATGATTCCGAATATTCCCGGCTAAGATTCCAGCAGATCCTGATGGCGATTCCGGACATTCTCGACTTGGATGTCCGGCGTTCCCTATTTGAACTACAGACATATAACATCAGACGTTCCCGACGTAATTTTGGACGTTTCCAGTGGAAATTCGTGACGATCATTCTGACGCGGACTCCAGCAGTTCCCGAAGGAGAAATCATACATTTCTAATGAGAATTCCAGAAGTTCCTGACTTGGATTCCGGACGTTGCTGAAGTGATGCCGAATATCATCAACGAAGATTCTAGCAGTACCCTATGGAGATTCCAAACGTTCCCGACATGATTCCGGAATTTCCCGGCGATAAGTAGATTTCAGATGCTTTCGTCATCCATTTCAGGCGATACCTACTTGAATCACAGACTTTACCGATGCGATTTTGGATGGTTCCGACGGGGAACATAGCTTTTCTGGCGGGGATTCCAGAAGTTTCCATCGGAGATTCCAAACATTTCAGACGCTTACAAAGATAATTCCAGACGTTTCCGGATTTTCGGAGGGAATCTAGCAGTTCCTGAACGAGATACCGGACATTATTGAGGAGCATTCCAATTGTTCCCTAAGACGATTCCAGATGTTATCGACATATCCCAAACTTCGATCCCAACGGGTACTCTAGATGATCCCGAAGTGATTCCAAAGATTTACACAGAACCGGGAAAAACAGGAGAGCCAGGAGGAGGGGAATTACCGGAAATTTAACTATAACCTTAAAATATATTTGTTATTCCTTTCTTTATCGAATCATTTGAACGGTGAACAGTTTTCATAGACCGGGATATCGAAATTAATGTGAAAACAGGAAATTTCAAATATTTCTAGAAACTCCACTATATTATTTTTTTTTTCATCCTGGGCGTTGAATTTCTCTTTCTGCTCTTGAAATCGTTAGTATTATCCAAAAATGTATGTTATTTTTTTCTTTTTTTTTATTTGGCTGTCTTATTATAATTTTTTTCTTTTTTTTTTATACCGATGTTGCTACACACTGAAAATATTTTTTATTTATAGAGGTTTTTTGATATTTTTCTTCTATGCAACACTTAAGGTTCTCTTCTGACTAAGGTAATCTCTTGAAGTTCACCACATTATTTGAAATTCCTTTGTTATTCACTTCAGTTCTTCTGAAAATTACCATGAGGTTCTCCTTGAAATTGCAGAGTGAATTCAGAGAGTGTTCTGCAGAAGATTTTCAAGTGAAATTATGGAAGAATTTAAATGATAATTCAATTTTTTTCATAACAAATTTCGAGCTCCTGGACACAGAAAAGGATCAAGAGTCTCAAGGTTTGGTAAAAAAAATGAAAAATCTGAGGCTTCGATATTTTAAGATTTCATTCTTAGAAAATTATATGATCCTGGATTTAAAAAAGGTTCAAGGTGTTTTATTTAAAATAAAATATTCCAGACATGGATGGGGACTTAGGGAGAAGATTTAGGAATGCTTAAAGATTTCAAGTTTCAAAACTACCAAACATATTTGTAATGCAAAACTTTGAAATTGATCAAATTCGTCCTATTCTGGGATTTTTGCATTTTTTAAAGTTTCTAGCTCTTGGACTTGGAGTTTGAAACTTTAAGGTTTTGATATTTTATGAGATCTTAGGCTCAAGCAAATGTTAAACTTCAACTTTTTATGGTTTTGATTGTTAAACAGATCTCTTAAAACTGATGGTCATGTCTTGAAATTGTTTGTGAAAATTAATTTGTTGTTTTATCAAACATAGCATATTTTTTAGCGCAATCAGAAAACAACTTTCTTAAAAACATGGAAATTATCCAAAAAGTTCTGTAAAAACCTGGAAAACTCAGGAAATTTTATTTAGTAAAAGAAGTAGACACCCTACATAAGAATCAGCAAAAAAGTTACTTCAATTTCATTAAATAAATCCACAAGAGAAGCTGATGAAAGCCCCGATAATTTCAAATAATATTGGTAATCAAACAATAGAGATACATCATAAATATTGACGGCAAAATTTGAGATGGTTCTATTTTTCTGAAACTTACTGATTTGCTAAAAGTTATCTTTGGCATAAAGTTATGCTAACTGTCATAATATCAAACTTAAAAAAAACCTGTCTATGATGTGATGCGAGCTTAATCGTAGCATTGTCATGCATTTTCCAGATTTCAATTCCAATATAAAAGTTTAAAGTGTAAGTATCTTAATGTACTGGTAATCATACTTCAAAATATTTTGCTATTAATAATGGAAAAATGAATAAAACTGGATACTAAAAAAGCTGGAAGAATTCGAATTTTCACTGTTTGACTGTTTCCAAAAAAAACCGAAAGATTACGGTTAAACTGGATTGCTGGCATCACTGCTCTGTATGTCATAATTAAAACACGATTTAATATTTATTTCTAAAAATTACCATAAACAATTCACGCCATTAAAATAAATTCCGTATTTTTTTTTGATAGCACATCAATCTCCTTGCGATTTTCGTGACATTATTTAATGATAACGCGATTTGCACGACTGCAAGCTTAAATCCGTGAAAATCGCGAAATTTTTGAAGTTCGAGAAAATTGTAATAGCCGTAGAAATTAGATGAGTTCTTTATTTTCACTTAAGTTAATAATTTATTCTCGTGCTATTTATTTCTACTGAAGTTTAGTTATCACCTTTTCATGTTCATCGTTTTACGAAATTTTATTGAGCTCACAAAAGGAAACGTTCGCGAGACATTTTGGGTTTTCACAAAGTTTTCATACGAGGCAGGATAGAACTACACGACCAGTTTATTTTACTCATAATCGCCAAAAGTACAGGAACTCAACGATGAGTAAAATTTCCTCATGCTTTTCGGTGGAAAACCTCAAAAATCTACCTGAAAATGAGGAAAATTAACGGACTGAGTGAACCCAATATTTGCTTTGCTCATGTTCGGGATTTTTTTTCCTGGACAAACCTGGAAAAACATGAGGCAAATTTACTCATCGCTGAGTTGCTGCACTTTCTGTGATTTATGAGTAAACTAAACTCAAATTTGGGTTGTTCTCATTGGCCGTGTAGGGTTCCTTCCTCCTTTTATCTTTTCTTACGTCTTTTTTTTTCCATTCTTCTCTTTTCAAAAAGCGAGTAATGGCGCTATAACTACAAGTCATATAAGGCTAGGACAAGAGCTAGCGCTCATGTCCCGACAACTAGAGGAAAATGAAGCATCATTTAACTTTCTTAACGACCAATCATTTATAAATAACAGCACACGGGACGTATGATACGAGATATCCTCGATTCATCCATTTATTAGATTCTAATGCATCGTCTTTAAATCTTTGATTTAAACATGCTCGATGTTTCTGAATCATCTTGCCCCTTAAATGCTGCACAGTAGGCCTGGCCGTTTTGATATATTTTGAGCTTCTCTGATGTGCAACATATACCAAATAGACAAGGAAACCGATGGAGTTGTATCTATCATTTTCCTGGATGCTTTTATGATCTGGTTAGATTAGATGAGACACAGAAAAAATAATCTTTAATTGATTTATAATACCATAAACCTTAAAAATCAGACACTATAACAACGATCTCTTTTTGACTGACGAAACACAAAGTGTGACTCTCACAATTTCGACAATCATAATAATCAACACGTTTCGTTCAATTTTGGCCAGGCGCTGCTATAGACCACATAATTTTAGTACCAATTTCGGTAACTCAATAAACGTTTCTACATACAAACGCAGCCAGAAAAAAAAACCCGTTTTAATGGAACATTTCCCGATAATCTGATATTATTTTTACGACCAAAACCATTTTCGTATATGTGCGGAACCATTTCGTCGCTCTCTCCGCCGCTGCCGCCGATTTTTTTTTGTATGCCTATTTATGGAAACGCCATCCACTACACAGTATGTGGACCCCCCCTTTCCCCGTCACCATCGTCGGTGTCACCACTTTTCACCTATTTTTGTACCATTTTGGACTGCTGTTTTTTTTTCGTTTAGCAATAGGACTCGGGCGGCGGGCAGCACATTGGTTGACACACACTCTCCTCATCCAAAATCTCTCCAAACGACACACGGCGAGGTGTCGTCGAAAGGTTTAGCACACCGAGGCAAAAGCCAAAATCGAACAACCTAACTTTATGGTAATTGGATTCCGCTCAGATCCGGATTCTCTCCGCCGACGACGGTGAAACGACGACGGTGCAAAAGAGCTCTAAATTCGGGGGAAAAATATGTGCGATCAAATGCATGTTGTACCGTGGCGACAAAAGTGCTGTACCTTTAGCGCCTATGCTATTTCGAGCGCATAGTTATGCGAAAGACTTACCTTCGGCTGTCGAAACTTCTCTTTGGCAATCTAAATCTAGTTTATTGGCGACTAGGAGGATTGGTGCTGGCTGACTACCTTTCACACGACTGATCACATTTCGCATACTGGAGATGTCCTGCAATGGGAAGAGAGAGGGATTATGAGTCATTTACCATATTACGACCGTATTAATAGGAAGTAAAGATGAGGAGGAAGCACTGCACTTGCTTTTTGACTTAGTAGAATAGTTGTTGTAGTTGGTGCTATCAATCTTATTCTCCCGGTGAGTTACGATCGCTGTTGAGTGCCATGCCATCATCGTCATAATACTTCGTCATAAAACACGACGACAGTGTCACGCAGATGGATGAGACATCCAATGACTCCGAGGTCCGGAAATGGCTCGTTTAAAGAAACAACATGGGGGCAGAAAGGAATCGGAATAGACACAAAGTGGTGATGGGACGCGTGTTGCATAAAATTGGTGGTGATTAGCTGCATAATAGAGGAAATGGTGGATAGAGTGGTGCCTTTCTGGAAGAGCTGGGCTTCTCGGTTGGGTAGAGAGTGAATGAGTGGCGAGTGGGAATTTGAAGGAAGTTACGCAGCTAGTCGTCGGGGTGATTGTTAATTACTTCGCTAATCAATCCGCCCGCCGGCGGCGACAAGTTGGACAAGTTGCTGCGAGATGAAGCTCGTTGTTAATATGTTTGTAAATGAAGCATAATTCTGTTCTTTCTGGATTGGCTTCGTGGATTCATTTCCGCTACTTTGTATGATTTGTGCTAATCACAGTTGGATGTTTCTTGTCGTAGGGCCAGTCGGAAGTTTACTTTAAGCTCATGACCAGTGCTGTGTGCTGCCAACAATGCCAATTTACGCAAGATATTGGTCTAGCACTGAATGTCACTTCTGACTCTGATATTCGTAGTAAGCATGATATCAGGCGATACGGCTTTGATATTACTATCCATGTGCATATAACTATGAAAAGCTGAAAATCTTACTTTTATCTCGACAAGTCAACTTTTTTGAATAACCGTTGCATTGTTTTAATATTACGGATGATTTTTTTTCTAAATATCGCTACTCGATTAGCTGGCGTATATAAGAAACATTTGCGGCAGAACTTTTAATATCAGTGGTCCTTTGACGTCTTCTTGATGGCCGGAATAAACGCACCTTCTAATCGGTGCGGATCTTCAGTGCGGATCCAGCGACGGGAGGAGAGACTCGGGTGGCGGTTCAACACACGTCGACTTGAAGATCCAGCGGTAAAAAGGTCTTTCGTTGAAGAACTTGAGACTCAAGCTGTGGACGTTCCAGAAGGTGAACAATGGACGGCCATCAAAAATGCCTTTATATAAGCAAGCGAAAACAACCTGGGTGAGCTGCGCACCCAGAGGAAAGAGAGGATCACTGACGAAACTTGGCGGAATATTGAGGAGCGTAGAGAAGCAAAAGCCGCGATAGAGCGGGCGAGAACCAGAGGAGCCAATAACAAAGCCCGTCAACGGTACTCGGCTCTAGAACAGGAATTCAAGCGCTCTTGCAGACGGGACAAGCGAGCTTGGGTGAACTCCTTGGCCGACGAAGGGGAGAAAGCCACAAACACTGGCGATATACGCCTCCTCTACGATATCTCACGACGCCTGAGTGGAGCAAGGATGAATCCGAAGATGCCAGTGAAGGACACGACTGGACAATTGCTTACCGACCCCACTGACCAGCTGAAACGCTGGTTTGAGCACTTCGAACAACTTCTTCAAGTTTCGACGACCAACCAGCCATCAACATCTCGGCATGATCCGCCTAGAGAACGGCGCATCACTCGCGTCAATTCCGAGACCCCATCACTGCATGAAATCCAACAAGGCTCCAGGGGTTGATCGCATATTAGCAGAGATGCTCAAAGCTGACCCCTTGCTATCCGCTCAAATGATGCATCAACTATTCTGTAATATCTGGGACACCGCGACTTTTCCGGCCGACTGGATGCAGGGCGTCTTAGTGAAGGTCACAAAGAAGGGGGATCTGACTGTGTGTGACAATTGGCGAGGCATCATGTTACTGTGCATTGTTCTCAAAGTTCTGTGCAAAGTTATCCTGAATCGTATACAGGAGAAGATCGGCGCGACTCTACGGCGGCAGCAGGCAGGATTCCGTGTCGGAAGATCTTATGTTGACCATATTGACACGCTCCGCATCATCCTGGAGCAGGTCAATGAATTGCAAGAGTCCATTTATTTGGTATTCATTGACAAAGAAAAAGCTTTCGACCGACTCAATCACGAGAATCTGTGGGGCGCTCTGAGACGCAAGGGAGTCCCGGATAAAATCGTCAACCTCATCGAAGCGCAGTATGAGGCTTTCACGTGCAGATTTCTGCATAACGGAGCCTTGTCTGACCCTATCCGGGTAGTCGCTGGTGTGAGACAAGGATGTATACTATCACCGCTACTGTTCCTCATCGTAATCGACGAGATCATGGTGGCTGCAATTGACCGTGTACCGAACCGTGGGCTGCTTTGGCAGCCTATCACCATGGAGCATCTCAACGAATTCGATTTGGCTGAAGATGTTGCTCTACTAGCACAACGGTGCTCTGATATTCAGAGTAAGCTCAATGACCTAGCCAAACGTTTCTCTGCGCCGGGTCTCACCATGAACGTCAACGACCAAATCGTTGGATGTCAACACGGGCAACTCTTCCAACTTTACGGTAGCGGGGCAAGCAGTGGAGAAGGTCGAAAGTTTCCAATATCTTGGCAGCCAATTAGCGTCGGACGGTGGGACCAAGAGCGACATAAGTACACGAATCAAGTAGGCTAGGGCTGCCTTTGCGAGTTTACGAAACGTATGGAGATCAAACCAGATAAGTCAGCGCACCAAAATCCGAATTTTCAACTCGAACGTGAAATCTGTGTTGTTATACAGAACACTGTTATGAACACTCAGAAGCTGCAGGTCTTCATCAACCGATGCCTGCGGTATATAATTCGTACCTGGTGGCCTCACAACTCGATCTAGAATGCCGAGCTCCATCGTCGATGTCATCAGAAGTCGATAGCAACAGAAATTCGAGAGCAAAAGTAGGGGTGGGTCGGCGACACACTTCGACCGGGCGGAAAAGAAATCTGCAAGCAAGCGCTGGATTGGAATCCAGCAGGGCATCGTAGCAGAGGCAAACCCAGGGGTTCATGGCGGCGGAGCATCAACAAGAAAATAAAGCAAGTCGATAAGCATCTAACCTGGGCCTAGGTCAAGGCAAAAGCGAGCAGCCGCAAAGGGTAGAAGTCTTTCACGTTGGCCCTTTGCACCTCCGGTGGTGTACAAGACCCTTAAGTAAGGTCCTAAGGATTTTGAAATCTAACAACGGACATTTCCGCAACATCATATTTCCCCTATGCCATGTTCTATGTTTGCCAAGAAACTTGTTGCCTATTCTGGATGAATATTTTTTCTGATTATGATGCTCTTCTGCATGAACTTCTCGTCGAAAGTACTGTGAATTTCTAATTGAAAAATTTCGAAATTTATCATCTGTAGTTCTCAGAATTTCTCGTCGGAAATTTTGTGAAGTTAGCAAAGGAAGTTCTCTGAATTTGTCGTTGGATGTTGTCAGAACTTGTCTGAACTTCTCCTCGGATGTTCGCTGTATTTCGCTTCGAACTTTTCACCGGAAGTTCTCTGATCCTCTTGCCGGAGGTTCTCAGAACTTTTCCTCTGAAGTTCTCTGAACGTACTAAGAACATATTGTCAGAAGTACTAAGAGCTTATTGTCGGGAATTCTCTGAATTTCTCGTCAGAAGTTCACACAATTTGTAGTCAGAAAATCTTGGAATTTCTCATCGGAAGTTCTCTGGACTTCTCGTTGGAAGATCTCTGACCCTCTTGTTGGCAGTTCTTTGATCTTCCCAACGGCAGTACTTTTAACTTTTTGTTGGAACTGCATGGAATTTTAATGAAGTTTTGTAAAATTTTCATCAAAAGTTTACTGTTTACTTTTTATCGGAAGTTCTGTGAACCTCCCGTCGGATCTTCAAGGAATTTAAATTAAGTAAACTTCTCGGAACTTCTTTTTAGATCTTTGAACTTGTCTTCGAAAGTGCTCTGAGTTTCTCGTCGAAAGTTCTCTAAACTTATCCATGTAACTTCCAAGAAGTTCTGTGAACTTTCAGAAAGTTTCGTCTCATCAACATGTTGCACACATTAGAGAAAATTTTAGAGCTTGTTGTTAAAGGTCAGCTGATTCAAATAGTAATAGTTTGTTGATACCAGAACCATCGGGATATCGGGAAGGTCATTCTTGTGAAACTGCATTGAATTTGGTGTTAGCAAAGTGGAAAGACAACTTGGAGCGTAAAGATACGATTGTTGCTGTGTTTTTGAATCTAAAACGCGCTTTTGAGACAATTTCTAGGCCCTTACGCTCTTCAATTACTGTGCGACAGGTGGTTTGTTTACCCACCAATATTGGTATTTTTGTAATCGGTATGAAGTCTACAGATAGAAAATCGATATCCGTCGCCATTTTGAAATCCAATATGGTGGCTTGCTATTTCAGAAAAATAATGAAAAATGCTGATGCCGTCCCATCAATATGGGTATTTTTGGAATCTGGGTGACGTCTGGAGATTGGAAATCAATATCTGACGCCATTTTGAAATACATGATGGCGGCTGCCGGTTTAAGAAAAAGTTATAAATTCCATCAAATACCCATACAAACGGTTTTTTTTTTAGAATCAGAGTAACGTCTAGAAGCCGGAAATCGATATCCGACGTCTTTTCGAAATCCAAACGGGAGCTTCCGATTTGCTGAAAAGTGTCAAATACCCTTAACTATGGTTATTTTCAGAGTGAAGATGAGACGTAGATGCCGAAAATTGATGTCACACCGTTTTTAAATCCAAGGTGGCGGCTTTGGTTCAGAAAAACTGTGAAATACTGTCAAATACCGATCAATGTGGGTTTTTTGGAATCGGAGTGACATCTAGAAGCCGGAAATCGATGTTCGACGCCATCTTGAAATTCAAGATGGTGGCTTCCGATTTCAGAAGAAGTGCCAATATAGACAAATATCGTACCAGGCATCTTTTGACTACACTTATGTTATGTTTGAATTGGGAAAAGT